GCCAGTTCTCATCTTCCAGCTCCCCAGCTACTCCGCGTACTAAAGTTGTACTACAAAGGCGCCAGTTCTCAGCTTCCAGCTCCACAGCTACTCCGCGTACTAAAGTTGCACTACAAAGTCGCCAGTTCTCAGCTTCCAGCTCCGCAGATTGCTTCGCGTACTAAAGTTGTACTACAAAGTCGCCAGTTCTCAGCTTCCAGCTCCCCAGCTACTCCGCGTACTACAGTTGTACTACAAAGTCGCCAGTTCTCATCTTCCAGCTCCCCAGCTAGTCCGCGTACTAAAGTTGTACTACAAAGTCACCAGTTCTCATCTTCCAACTCGCCAGATACTCCGCGCACTAAAGTTGTATTGCAAGGTCGCCTGCATTTCGCGCCCGACACGCCCGATCTCCGCAGAGGGTTGCGCGCGTACAGACTCAATCGCACTCTCGCCTGCATTTCGCGCACTCGACGCGCACAGTCTCCGCAGAGGGTTGCGCGCGCACCGGACAAATCGCACTCTCGCCTGCATTTCGCGCACTCGACACGCACGATCTCCGCAGAGGGGTGCATTTTCGGTTGACGCTGTTCGCCCCACCCTCCGCCTTTAAGAGAGAATTTATAAAGTGGGGAAATGTTTTTCATCAGGACATCTCCCGTGCTAGTTTTCCATGCTCACACTTGCCTACTCATTGCATGCTTGCATGCTCATTGCATGCATGCATACTCATCATTGCACTTGCATCACTACACTTGCATACTTTGACACTTGCATACTTTGCACTTGGATGCTTTCGCTCTTCCACTTACACTGGGGTACGTATAGCGTTCATGTTGTAGTGCAAGTGTGGAAATGTCAGTGTGTAAGTGTAAGTGTCGAAGTGTCAGTGTTCAAGGGATTTTCCGGAAGAACCCTTCGCAATGCTTTCGGGAATGAGTCTTTCATAATGCTGTCCATGTATCTCACGTCTTGGAAGCGAGCGTTTTGAGACGGCCGCCATGCGCAGGTTCTATCGACCGAAAACGCTGCTTGGCAGATCTGAAGAAACAGCGTTATCACGATCCTTTGTCACGTGACGAGTCAGGGATGTGACGAGTCAGTTGTCACAGTCAGGTATGGCGCCAGGTGTATGAGTCAGTTGTCGGAATTTGTGTAAGTCAAAGTGCACGAAGTGCGGTGCGAACGGTCCTGGTTCTCTGTGAGGTTCTGCGACATCACACTGTATGCAGACAACTACGTCAGCACCATGCACTGTGATCCGCTCCTTGGATTCGAGAGCGATCGTGATGTTGAAAAAGCGGCGTCATATGGCGTCATGCTTTGAGAGTGTCCGAGGTTCAGCAGAGCCGGAAACGGCCGATAGGCCAAGTTAGCTGGAGACTCCATCACCCGCCTTTGTAGAGTTTGTCTCACCCCGTCAGTGGCCAAAGGTCATCAAGGAAGCGGTGCTGCAAAAAAGAAGGAGGCTGAAGGAAGGCTAGGTTTAGCATGGTTAAAACAAAGCGAATTATTTACAATATAATTCAGTCATTCGAAGTCACTTAGGGCGAGATGCAGTTTCTAGTAGGATGTGTGTGTGTGTGCGTGTGTGTAGATGTATTTGCAACCCCTGACACAGAGAGCAGCTTGCAGCATTGAGCTCAAGCGCGTGGCGTAGCGGCGTGGCAGCGTGGCGGGGAACCCGCCGTGCCTGCAGGTGGGCTCAACTCTGGAATTTGTGTTTGCTCAAGACCAGAAAGTAGCTTCATAGGTCAGCTGCTACTAGTAGCTAGAAGCTATTAGGTTGGAGACTAGTAGTTTCTTGTTACTAGCAATGGCCTCCAACCTAATAGCGATGGCCTCCACCTACTGGTAGTAGTTTCATAGGTCACCTGATATCATGGGATCTACCATCCCTGAGTGCCATCTGAGTGGAATTCTCAGAATAGATAGACCTTTCAAGGCTCCTCAAACTTCAGTGTGAACAGTCACAGCCCTTGTCCAGGTGCCTTCGTCATGATGTATCCGAGTTACCAGAGGCGTGGAATGAAGCTTGTCCTTCGCACATCTTTGCACCTGTTAGTCAAGACCCCTCCCAAATGTAGGAAGTCGTACCCCAGGATGCTTTTGGATTTCAATAGGGCACTCCAGTGTTGCTATTCCTGGTAATCTCATGGGTCATGGGTTGTCAGAAGAAAAATACAAGAAAGACATCCGGAAAAACAAAAAAACACATGACGAATCTGATCGAATCTGTATTTTTTTCTGCTTTTCCGCATGAACGGGGAGTTCCATTTTCCCATGTCCACCAGGTGCTCGCCGGAGCGTCGGCGAGTCGCTGGGAGCCTCGATGAGCGCTGTTTGGATGAGCCGAGTCAAACCGCGTTTGGATTCTAGAATTCTGCTTGTTTGGATTCTAGTGTTCTTTTTTAAAGCCCGCTTCCCTCCTGCCTACTCAAGTAAGGTAGCTACTAGCTGCAAGCAAGCTACTACCTAGGATGCAGGATAGCTCGCTCTCGCACTAATGATTTGGTTCCTAGATGTTTAGGGAAACTTAACTTACATGAAAAAGGCTTCCACAGAGAGCCAACAAGATCTTGAGACAAATTCTGCGTGAAGAGGATAGCACCGCGTGCTTTTGTGCTGTGTATAGGTCTAGGTAAATGTTTGGGGTGGTGACAAACTCGAAGTTGGTTGTACGAAAGAAGCCAGCATCGAAGCCAGCACCTTGCCGGTGCCATGAATCATTTTCCGACTGTCAAGCACTGTATCTAAGGTGTCCCAGCAGTGTGGCTCAAGGATGTTTTGTGGTTCGAAATGATTCCAGCACATTGATTTCTCCAAACGCAGAGGGTTCTCATGATGACCATAAGACCTCACCGTTGCAGGAAACTACTTCAGATCCACAGGAGTCATGATACATCATGTTACATCATGTTACCAATCGCCAGTTTAGAGACTCACTAAACTGAACGCAAGATGGCCATGCGGAGACGTTCTCCGAGGATAGCAGTACCTTGGGTCGAATGCAAAGAGAAAAGTGAACGCTTGGGGATGCTGATGACACTGATGACTTCGTATCTGTCTATCGTGTTTGCACTCAACAAGATGGCACACTAGTTTCGCAAGCCTGAGTTCAGGCGGAAACATGTTTCTGTAAAAAGCTGTGAATTGGTGTTGTGCCACCTTTTCTCCTACGAATCTCAGGCGCTATTGGCTTTGCTTGGGGTGCAAGTCACCTGCTTCCTGCAAGGCTTGAAGATGGTCCAAAATGTTTTGTTCGAAGCTCTCACTGTTTGAAGAACTCGTAAGACACCTGAAGCGAGAAAGACACTTCCAACGAGAAGTAAAAGAGATGTAAAAGATACAAAAGGAAAAGATACAATCAAAAGGATCCAAAGAGAAAGGACGCTACTGGGGGCTCCTGGCATCGCTACTAGGAGCAAGGACGCTACTAGGGGCTCCTGGCCGTACTACTAGTAACAAGAAGCTACGAACGTAACAAAGAGAAAAAGATAAGTAAAAGACGCTCAGACACAAGTGCCTTCCTAGCAGTAACAAGTGCCTTCCTACTAGTAACAAGGGCATCGCTACTAGTAACAAGGAAATAGAGACGCTCAGACACCGGTCCCAAACCTCAGGTCTCCGTCAAACGCGCCCTAGACAGGTGCGGCACCAAGACGGTCAACTTTGACTCACCGAATGCAGATCATGTCGGGAAGAGTTTATTCTTCGTGTGTGTTGTTTTTTAAATGAATGTATGGAATCAATTGGAATAATGAAGGGAACTCATTACTTGTCTAAACACAAATTGTGGAATCAACTTACAATGTTTCTATAAACAATTGGATTCCTCGACAGTTTGGAATCTCCTTAAGTTTTGTGCAAAGCACCCAGCTTGGGAGCCAATCGCAGGCAGCTCACGATGCCCAGCTTGTTGGAGACTCAGAGACTACCAATCCTCACAATAGGTTGTTGCCATCCCCGTAGGTTTTCTGGTCTTTAGTTGCTTGAAGTTCACGGGAAGGTCAATTGGGTGAGCAAATCCCATCGCCATTTTGCCGATTTCTTTGTGACGGGCCTGATAGGCACCAACAGCAGCTCAGGTGACTTTTGACTTCGATGCCTTCTCTGTCCCGGAAGAGCAGCAGCAGGGTATGATCTCTTCGCTGGCGCGGCAGATGGGCGTCGCCGAGAAGCTCCAGGCAGCAGTGAAGATGTGGAAAACTCGTTCAGGATGAATCCGGATTGAGGACATAAATTTGCAATCTCTCAAGACTGGTAGTCAGTGTCACAGTGTCAAGTTGTACTGGTAGGTTGGACGATTTCTTTGCACCGATGGGAGTCCCAAATGGACAGGTTGAAGAGGCTTGATAAACGCATCTTGCCTGCAGGTGTCCCACGAAAGTGTGGATGAGTATTTAGAGCAGTGTCTCAATGCCATGCCCAGCAACCCATACCACGGCCCAGCCCATATTATGGACGTCATGCAGTCGCCGCCTCAGTTGAAGAGGACATTCACAACGCGAAAAGCGGCCACTGCTGCGTCCTTTCTGTCAGAGAACTGAGGTTTCTCCATACATTGCTTCGAGAGACTGGTCTTGACTCTTGGCCTATTGAAAGGTAGGTTATGGGACACACTGGCTTCAGTGAGAGACTCTGGAACCGGAAAGGATCTAAAGGCAGAACTCAGCATAAGAATCTCAGCTCTTTAAGAGAATCGAAGAAGAAGGAGGAGGAGAAGAAGGATATGAAAACAAAGGTAAGGGCAAGGGTAGAGAACCTCCCTTTAAAGGGGCCTCACCTTCCATTGTTGGAGGCCGTCGCCATTAGGAACAAGAGAAAAAGGAAAAGGAAGTGCACACAAAGTGATGGATCATTCCCCTGGACAAGCAGAGTTTGCATGAGTGTGACTGGACCTACTAGGAAGGTAAGACCCCTCTAAACTCCTTCCCACTTAAAGGGGCCTTGCCTTCCATATCCTTCCATTTGTCATCTCCTTTTTATTATTTCATTGTTTTATCGGCTACCACCTCACGCTTGGTGGTCCTGAGGACAAGCAGCTCTCCCCAGTGCAGACCTCGGCGCTGGTCCTGGCTGCAGCTGCCCATGCCTTTTGTTCGCAAAAATGTTCTAGAATCTGCCTCCACCTAGTAGCGATGGCCTCCAACCTGTAATATAGTCCATGAAGGATGGATGAGTCACCAAATGTGTACGCAACAACATTGCAAGGGCTAAACAAAGCTTGTAAATGTGTTCATTGCTGAGAGCGACCTTCACAAAGGATGTGGACCACACTGGCACCTCCAATGCTTTGCTGGTTTCACTCAGCCACGAGTTTGTAGAGGACACTTTCTTGACAAAACAAAAAGACTGAACAAGCCTGCCTGCCCAAAGTGAGTGAGAACAAGCTTCAGAACAACTGCCAAGCATGTGCTTAAGGCTTAAGCAGCCGCAGCCGTTGTTCTCGGAAGCGTGGCTGTGACATTTTCGCCCACCATGTTCGCCCGTTTGCTCGCAGGATGTCGAGGAGGGCGTTGGACCCATGGAGAGCCACAGTGGAAAGAGAGCTGTTGTGCTGATCCAGGATCAGAATCGGCTTTGTCGGACTCGATAGGAGAAGAGACGATATGGCATTGCACTCACTGATTCATGTTAAATATGAAGAAAGGTTGACAACCATGTTCAACGATCTCTTCTGCCATGCTGGCCAATCTCCGCTTTTCCCCGGTTTCGTGGGTTGCTGCAGGAGCTTTTAAAGTGCCGAGATCCTGTGCTCCTGCAGTCGGTGCAAAAAGCGATCCACGGTACGGACCTATCACAGCATCTTCGCGAAACATTTGGTGTTGTCCAAGATGTTCGGAAACATCATATTTTGTTCCAGCACAACACAGATCTGCAACAAGATTGGTCATCAAACACGAAACAAAAACCATCAGAAAACACTGTGGTCCGATCATCTCTACAACCCCCCTGATTTGTAGAACAGAGGCCCCTTGCACTTCGACATTTGTTTCTGGGAGTGATGAAACATCAACATCGATTCGTCGGTCCAGGTGCAGGGGCACTTCGATGCAACAACGATCGTTGTAGCCCAAGGCATGACAAGATCTCCAAATTCTTCTCGGCGGCCATCGAGGTGCTGATTATATCAGAGATGGACTGGGGAAAGTTGCTAGAGAAGACAAAAAAAAAGCAAGGAAGGCGGCCGTGACATGCCTGACATACGGTGACAACAACAAAAAATGTTAGGGATCTTCCTCTCTCCCTTTACCCTCTTAGCCTGATGTTGGCAGCCCTGAAGAGGCACCCAGCCTTGATGCATTCTTCCAGCCTGGAACAGATGAGAGCACTGCGCTGCTGCAGATGCTGCTCAAGGCAGACCTGAGCCACTCAAGATGAGTTTGATGTCAGCCGACACATCGGTGAAGCGGATGATCTATCATGATCGATCCACCAGTAGGAGCAAGGACGCTACTAGGGGCTCCTGGCCTTACTACTAGTACCAAGAAGCTATTAGAAACCAGAATTCAATAGAATTAGATTTAATTAGAATCCACCACATCCTCCACGTCCTCCCAAACTGGCAGGCCTCGGACGTGAGCAACCCCGCAAGGCCGATGCGGACGGCCCAAGCGTGGAATTCTCAGGTCTACCAGGACTGGTGAGAAGCGAGACATTGGCAGACTGAGACGATATGAGTATGTAAGAGTGAGACTGCTCTTTGCAGGAGTTCTATGCCGAAGGAGATCAGGCTCGGGCTGTTGGTGCAGTGGTGGAAAAGAGCAAGGAAAGCTTCTTGCTACTAATAGTAAGGCCAGGAGCCCCTAGTAGCGTTCTTGCTACTAGTAGTAAG